TGTCGGGCAAAGCAACTTCGTACTCAAATTCGGGATCTCGGCAGTGCTTGCATAAATTTGGAAGTAAAGTGCATATGTGTGCGAGGTAAACTCCAGCACCGATGCCAGCGAAAAGTAGAAAAAACCACTGCAGAATCTCGAGTGTTAGGATATGCGTGTCCATATCAGACAGTGTAAAATTTCCTGGATTCCTGCAGTAAATCGGTTTTGTCCCCCCGGATCAAGTTTCGTGCCATTATTGTTCGATATAGACTTGCTTTCAAGTTCATTACACCTCCTCACGGCGTTAAACACGTCGAAGAACATCCCTACGTCTGAAGCAACGTTGTACCCTTGTAAGACACTGTACACAGTGAACTGGATAATGTATGAAGTCTTCAGCGTCATTTCACGACAAAATATGGCGCAAATCGTTGAACAACAGCCTATACATAATTCACAAAGTCGATCCGCCATCTTGAGTTGTTTACTAATCCGCCAGCTGAGTATTCAAAAAGTTTGAAAGTCAAGGATATTTGATGATCTAACTGTAGTATAAAATAAAAATAGTATGACAGTCAAACTACATGAAGAGAAATTAACTTGAAGCACGATTCCATAAGTCCAGAAACTGTTGTTATAATTACTGCTTGATCAATATTTCCATTAAATTCTTCGACAGACTGATTATTGGCAACTAATTACGTTTTGAATCAAATCAACTATTGATAATTGAGTTCAAGTCGACTCTCTTTCGATCCACTGTATACATTACAAGTTGATAGTTTCAAGTTGCATGGTGTTAGTTTCTACCACAGATGTGTGTTACTGTATGTTTCAACAAACTTAATTTACATCTTATTCACTTTCAAGTACTTTGCGTTAATCTCATGATTTTTAAAATACCACGTATGAATAAAGGAAAATACCTTCAAATCCTCAAAATGCTTGTCAGCTCAAAGTACTTGCAATTGTTTAAAACTTGTTGTCTGTTTATAATCCGAGGAATCTACCACATACAAGTCGTTTGCAAGGCAACAAACGTTCTGTTGGAAATGAAGTTCTATACATACAAACAGAAGCGGTGAAACCAAGAGACCGTGAACAACACATTGTATTGAGCCGATGAGTGGAAGTATAAAATATTTGCATATTGGCTGGCAATAAGGAACTCAAGCGTGACCTTGTGAGAGAATACATTTTAAAACTCTTTCGTTTCTAAACTCAAAATACTAAATTCATCTCACTGACAGTGCGTCAAAATTGTATTTCAATGATGCTTTCCATGAATTTTGGTGTTATAACAAGGCAACACCCCTAGTTGATGATTTATTTTATCAGAAGTCCACGGCACTAATTTGCTCACAGGTTTATTCTCCTTACCCTCCACTTGATAATGTCAGTGGTAAAGTAAGGAGAAATTATATGTCAATAACAATTGAGAATGTAATGGTCAATTGAGGTTGAGTAGATTTACTCGCTAAATGGACGAGATAAGAGAAATCATTGCCACCTCAATTTATATACAAGTATTAGTTTGTGTGTAATCCCTTAGGACAAGGCGGGTTTTTGAGAATCGTGCGCGATCGGAAGACTGAGCACGCGAGGTGGGCGCGAAACCTATTCTCCCAAGCAAGTCCTTTCTCCCACGCGCGTGATTCCCGCAACACGCTTTCCTCAAACTGTGGATGGGCGAGCGTGTTTTGAGTCGAATTAGTGCTGCTAAAAGATACACTTTTTCTGTATACATACTATAGTTAGGCAGTGCTTAAAGCTTTTAGTGCATGCATACTGTCCATGATATAACCCATTAAAATAATGTTAAGCACACATGAGCGTTTCGGTAAGTGGAGGTGCAAAGAAAGGTCACGTCACTAATGACAGATGCGCAGTATATCTTGTTTTCGTCAATATACATAATGAACGCTCTCCTCAGCTACTTCCAACAAGGCTTTATAGTTTCCCTGGGGGACTCACATATAAAATTGACCGGGATGATCGTCGGAAATTTTGAAATGAACCCCTAAAAGATAGCAAAATGAAATTTTGTGGGCGTGGCGCGAATTCACTTTCTAAGAGGTGCCAATTCTAACGACAATTCGGTTCCCGTTATGTTATTTTTCAGGCTTAATACCCTTCTGAGATACTAATGGTAGCCATTCTAGGATTAAACACTCTAAGCAGCACCAAGCCGAAGAATTGTAAACCCTAAAAGGTACGACGATCACCGGCCCGTCACTTTCACATGGTAGTCCCCCCCCCCCGTAGTTCATTTGGCAACTGGACACGACAGTAGCATATCTCAGGGAGGGGGGGGGGGGGGGGGGGATTTTCTGACTGTAGAGACCTGTGAAGAATCACTTACACACCATAGTAAACACCATTCGATGAATTTCAAAATAATAATTTATTGCTCTTACGTGTAAGTAACATAGATTTTATAAACATAATTTTACACTTTCACAACAATAAATTTGTTTTAAATACAGGACAAACAATATTTTTTTTATAACCAATAATGCTAAACAAGGGCATTTTTACACATACCAAACACAGTCTAAGTTACTTCCTAGTTGCTTTTCTTTGCAATTTCCCTCCCATCAGGAGTTTCTGCTCCCATTTATCAGATTTATATCACACAATACTATTTATTGAAGTCTGTTATGCAAAGCAATTTGCGTCTATTAAAGTTATGACGACTAAAATTAGAACGGTTTTCTGATGACTGATTCCAGTGAACTAAATTAAAGCTAAATAAACCACAAAATGTGCAATGAACCAAACGGAACTTGGTATAAAGATTAATAATCGAACCAATTGAAAAAAGCGCGGGAAAATTCACGAAGACTAAATGACGAACGCGTTTGATTAGTTGCATCTCATTGCCTGAGAAAATTTAAACTCTGCTATTATTACTGGTCACGGTATAATACACGCGGTTCTGTAACCATAGTTACTACAATTTATTGGATAACCGTTCTAGAATTATGGAGTTTTGCAACTGGAGGCCGAAAGGGACTGAAACCCTATCGGCAACTAGGTATTTTACACCCTTTGTTTGAGGTCGATGGCATACTTTACAGACCTATAGACAATTATATATGAACTGAATTAATGAACATAATTGTATGATTACTATTACACAGCATGTTCAATATATATGTTACGATTACTTTATAATATATCCCCGTTACATAATGAAAATAGTTCACTTATGTGACATTTGTGAGACTATGAAGTCCCCTCTATTATCGATTGAGCACTATGGAAAGCAAAACCTCCTAAAATATATTACAACCCGGTACTAAAATATTACCTTAACATACTTGCCTTAACATACTTGCCTTAACATACTTGCCTTAACATACTTGCCTTAACATACTTTATATTATCTTAAACCCTACACATGTATACCCAAGTGAGATGACATTGCAATATTCACTATTTAAAAAAATAAAAGGTTAGTTTACATTTGGCTTTTGGTAATTATCGCGAACCACGACACATTTATATGTATACCGCCCAGAACTGATATTTCTGGTTATTTAAGGTCAAATTATAAAAATGATATTTCCAACATAAAAAAAAACAATTATAAAATAATATAAAACACTACTTTCAATAAACGAAATCTAAATCTATTCACAATATTCAAACGAGAAGCAATTTTAAACTTCCAACGTAATTACAGTACACAATTGCTTATTAGCGTTTCTGCTTTACTACACAGTTGCTAGTTTTCTCTTTGTTCAAAACAATTAAATTCATTCCGAGTGTACGTTCACTTACTCGTTACATTATCAACTGTCGTACGGATATTTTTTGCTTCCCGTAGTAGTTTCTATTGTCAATAACAAATTACTTAATTCTTAATTCTGACATAATGAAGCTGTTAACCAAACTGTACGAATGAAGATAAAATATTTAAAAGAATAGCGCCGGTCTGACAAGACGATCTACAAACTCATATGACTACACTATTAATTTTCTACACTTTTCACTTGCCAAGCCGGTTTAGATATAATTTGGATTTGGATTTTTTTTTTTCGTCGCCTAGCCATCTCAATTTCTTTAACGTTATTGGTCTTGTTGAGACGCACAATTCAATTGTTTCACACAAAGTATTTCAATCCTCAACGAAAGTGCTCGGTTTTCTAACGCTGAACCGCTTTCCACCAGTATGTAAGTTCTATGTGACAAACAATGTCGCGTCGAATGTATATTGAAACTGATGCAGATCCTGATGTATGATCTCGGCCGGTTAATTAAGAATTGTTGTTTGCACGTTACACTTGCCTTGCAAATACAGCAGCCATTTTTCGTATTAATCATGTAGCTGCTGCACTTTTCGAGCAGAGTGTGCAGTGACTAATACTTTAGAGGCAATCAATGTCCCTAAAATCATCATAAGTGACATTGATTCTCTTTCTTCTTTTTCTAACAATGTTTTCACTTCCAACCTTTTGTTATGATTTGATGGAAATGTATGATCATTTCTTGGAAATAAATGTAATTTAAAGTGAAAATTCATTCATCAGTTGCTCTGAATGTTTTCTTAAATTATTTAGCCTTTATACTAATAGAGCTCTGGGCATGACGTTGATGGGTCAATTGGTTAACTACTCCGCCTACTGACCTCACTAATCAAATCATAATAACTTAAATATAAAAATAATTCTTCCAGATAACAAGCAGCAGTTATTTTGTTACACATACAACACGTTCGCCGAGTTTCGTTGAATGCCAGCTGTTGAGCTGCTGCTAGGCAACGTGGCTGATGGTCATTCAATTCTTTACTTTCAATTGACCCACAATACTGTTTGTTTGTTTGTTTGTTTTTATCTTTGTTTATCTGTTTGTTTTTTTCAGGGGATGGATGGAGGGGGGATTCTTTGCATAAGTCCAGGCCAGTGGCGAAGCATGACACAGTCATAAAAATAGATACTAATATGAATTATGAGAAAGACGTTTATCAGTCAGTGAGACAACTCACACAAGCTACTCGGAAAAATATTTATGAGTTCTCCCAACAGTTGTCGAACCTATGACCTTCCGCACACCGGTCGGACGCTCTCGGCTACCACTGAGCTACAGGAGACTCGTGGGAGCTTATAACTAGGCCACATAACTAGGTTCCAACGTGACAAATTTCCTGCATACTGCTAGGATTAGTTTTGTTGAAATGTGAGATATGTGTAGAAAGAGACATAAATTGTGTTTTTATGCAAAGAACAGAACAGTATTATGGGCCGTAGAAGTGGTCGTTTACTGAAATTTAGCATGCAGAACGAAAAAATAATAACTTCCCCATGTTTTCATTAGCAGCACAAGCAACCTTTTGAGCCATCGGCTTTCTCCTTCCTCTCGCAGGGACAGCAGATGGCACAGAGGCATTTGCCACAAAAATACCAATAAAGAAAAGACACCAAGAAAATGATACCCCAGAAAAACATGCCGAATGTCCATATGGTCGATGCTATGGTCCCCATCTCTTGCTTCATCTGGGGCGCTACGTCGAACAGGCGATTTATGGCCACTCCCATGGCAGGGGTTAAGGCGAGCACACAGTAAAGGAACCCGGCTGGGAGCACTACACAGACGCGGAGCGGGTAACAAGCCCAGCAGCCGAATGGATTCCCGATCCATGCATACAGTGGCAAGATACCTGATGATTAGAACGAAGTGAATAAGTGATTATAAGTAAAGTTTTCACATTTCACAAGCTATGTAGAGGCTACAATCCTCGTCAAAAGTCCTAGGGACACTTACATACAGGCACAAACGTTTATTGTTACATGTTCCGACTACAATTACTCCAGAATGAAATCATCCTAAATGCTATCAAAAAAGGATCCCCCACCTCCCTGAAAAAAAGGAGGGAGGAAGGGGAAAGAAGGGGGAAATGGCAGTGAAGGCAGAAAGTTGTATAAAAGGAGGGAGGAAGAGGGCACTGAATAATGATGGACAAGCAATATCTAGATGGTATGGGGACAATTTTCTGAAGGGCAACTATGATAAGTATAATGTAATGTTGATAAATAGTAGGAACAACTGCAACCCGTCTATAAATGTAAACATTGGTGGAGATACCATCAAGTCTACCCCAGATCTCAAATTGCTTGGGGTTACATTAGATGATAAGCTTAAATACAATATACATGTAAGTGATATCTGCAAGCAGACTAGCAAGAAAGTTGGTGTCTTAGTACGCCTTAGAAAGATGATTCCTGCAGAAGCCAAGCTCCAACTATACAAATCAGCAATTTTACTTAATCTCACGTATTGTCATACAGTGTGGCATTTCTGTAAAGCGTCTGACTCTAGGAAACTAGAAAGGGTACAAGAGCGGGTACTACGTGCAGTATATAATAACAAGACAGCAACGTATGAAGAATTATTAAGTAAGGCAAAGCTGCCTAGTTTAGCAAATAGACGCTTACAAGACATACTGTTATTAATGTATAAGGTTAAAAACTCAATGGCACCTAAACATATTTGTGACATATTTTATAAGCAATCTAAGAATTATAATTAACGTAGTAGCGATTTCCCTATTCCTAGATTCAATACTGTTAACTATGGTAGACATAGCATTAGATATTTAGGTCCCTATCTTTGGGGAAAAATGAACAAGGACCTTTGTGGTAAAAAAAGCCTCCATGAATTTAAGAAAGCTGTACGCGCTATCAATGTATTAGATGTGTTGGATGGAACATGCAGCTGCTATGCATGCTCATCATAGAATAATATAATGTATTTATAGTAATCTTAAGCTTATTTTAAACTTATAAACTTATCTTAAACTTATTAGACTAACAATACATATTTAAATTTAAATTTTTTTTAACTACTTATTTATATATCTATTTTATAAATATTTATATTTTCTATTTATGTATTTTATGTTATAGTGTCCCCAATTAGCTTTACAGCTAAATATTCAGACACTTAAATAAAGTTTATGTATGTATGTGTGTATGTATGTATGTGAAGGTAGAAAGTGGTATAAAATATCCCAATAATTTTGTCTTGAATATCGTAGAAAGCGTGTCAGTTCCTAACAATATCAATACATTTCCGTCAAGTAGACAGAAGAGCTTGTACTGATGAATGTAATGGTAATTAGTACAGATACACTTTGTGACAGTCAGTTCAATTGTAGGCTAAACTTTGGGCGGTTGCTTGTCAGCTGCCAGTTTGAATGGTGAAGCAGAAACAAATATGTCAGTGAAAATTTTGATCCGTGAAGTAACCCACCCAGGCCGAAACTGTTATTTCCTCTTTAACTAACGTTGGAATATGGTTTGTCGTGCACATAACAGCATGGTTCAGTATAAAAATAAAAGTATTCGGAACACTGGACAAAGATCAGTTAAGCTCAACATGAAATAAATTAAATTCTGACTGGCCCAATAACTCACTTTGCCAACGTGTTACACGCATTGTTAATATTTGTATTTGAGTGATAAGCTTTTTTCTTTCTCAGTTCAACATGATCTGATTGCAAGAAGACAGATGAAGGAAAGGAAATGATAAAATCATCATCAGATCGGGAATTCTCATAACCAACATTAAAATAAAATATATCAATTAGAATAAGGAGTCGGAATTAATACTGAGACACTCATTGAAACTGATTGCATACAATATTGCACACACTGTCTAAATTGCACCATGTGTAGACGTTGTTGCAATGCAAGCAATATCATAACATAGAAAGAAATAATGGTGGATTTTAAGATTGGTAGAAATATGAAAAAGATGTTTATCAGTCAGTGATACAAGCAAGTCGAACCCATGACCCTCCGCACACCGGTCGGATGCTCTACCACTGAGCTACAGGAGACTCGTGGGAGCTTAGGTCATATAACTAGGTTCAAATGCGACAAACTTCCCGCATACTGCCAGGATAGGTTTTGTCGATACGACTGATAAACATCTTTCTCATAATATCGTAGTAATCCAACACACTAACCATTCAGGTCACCGAGACTCCCACGGCGCCCACTGCGATCCTATAACAACCTGCGAAATATTACGATACACTGTTGTTACTTACCCTTATAAATGCTCACAATAGCTATGGATCCCAGCAGAAGTCCTAGCCACATCTCACAGTTGATCAGCGCTTGTGGATCAGGGGGGAGCAGTTGAGGTGTCATGGCGCACTCCCAGCAGTTGATGCCGCCGGCTCCCCACATCTGCGCGCATAGCTCAATAGCCAGACACGACATGGGTACATCATGAACCAACGTCTCTACCAATAGAAACAGCGTGTGGATTTGGAGGATCTTCTGGTAGTAGACCCCTGACTCGTTGACCATGTTCTCGAAGTTTTCGTCTCTCCAGTGCTGGAACGTGTTCGGGAACAGCACCACTATGTGGAGGATGTATATCCCCCCTGACAGGCACATGAAGAAGAAGAACACTCCTTCCAGGAGCTCAAGCGTTGCCGCCTTCTCGCCTAGCAACGCCTGCGTGGCGTTCTCCGTCGCGACGCAATATGGTCGCGTAAAATTTGTGTCGTTGCTCAAGGGTTGTAGCACCGTGGTTGAGAGCTCGTTGCAACGTGCGTACGTCTCAGACGTTTCCAGGAAAACGCCGACGTCGGTGCCAATGTTGAAACCTTGAAATAAGGCGTAGAAAATGATCTGGCAAAGGAATGCGCAGCCAGGGGAAACGGCATTGCAAAAGCAACGGCAGATGCCGCGGCATATTGCCATGCAACTCTTGCCAAGGCATTTGCAGCAATTTGAAAGAAACGACTGGACGCACTTACAAAAACATCCGCACATGATGACGGCTTTTGAATTTGCTCAGTTCACAGATAAAAATCCACCAGAATATGATATTTTTCAAGTTTAGAAAGGTCTTTCCTTTGATTCAGTTTTAACCAGGCCCCGTGTGTTTCTCTTCTTTGATGAAGTCTTCCGAAGCCCCTTGTGAAACTGTAAGCAAAGATTTAGTTCAGTGAAAATTCTGCGCACACACACAGTCGATGACCTTTTGCCTCTGATATAAAACAATATGGCCGCCGTAGGGCTTGTCACAACTCGTCGCGGGATTTGCCAGAGAATTTACTTCGATTTGCGAAAAGGCCGGCTGAAAGAATGATTGATGAAGCCTTTTATTTCCAGAATTCTTCTTGGATAAAGCCAGATACTTTGTTACAATCTCAAAACAAAATATTCAATCCAATGTTTCTTTAATCAAATAAACCATCGTCGCTTTTTTTTTTCCTTCGGCAGTTTTCATGCAGTTATTCCGACGGTTCCTTGGCGAGTAAACACTACATTCACTCGAAACGTCTAGCTTTTAAAATTCCCCTTTGGCTTACTTTGTTTCCCTCCTCAGTCTAGCCGGCGGGAATTTCGATTGAATTTTTCGTTACGTTCGTCTTGTATTCTCTGTGTTCCTTGACAATCTTAATCCCAGCGAAATTTGCATCTGTCCACTGGCAACACCACTTGACAATTATCTTCAGCTGCAAAAGCAAGTAAAGCGAAATCAAAATTACTTTCGAGAATTCAAACGAAAATTTTGTGAAAAAAGTCCGTTTTAGAGCTTAGTTGCCCAGTTTCAACAAACCTTGCCAGGAGATGGTTTGAATTTTCGAACAGACAGAAGGACGCAAAAAACTTCGTTGTTGTAAATATTTAATGAGAGCGGCTTTTATACCGAGCTGTCAAACGGAGATGAAGACGAGCCTTATGAATAAGACATTGAGCGAAATTGTGTGTGGAGAATTAAATAAACAAATCCAAGTAAAAAGAAACCTTTTGTAATTAAATCTACGATTTCAGGGTTTAAACCGAAAGTACCTTAAACTGAATTAGTCATATATTTTTTTCAAAAACCCAAACAAGTTTCCCTTAGGTGTCAGCAAGAGAAATTTACGTCCCATTCAATATGATCTTAAGCTAATTTATTCAAAGGCTATATTAGCATAAACACAAACTGTCGAAGCCTTTTCTATAAAGGAAATACTCTAAAAGCAACAAATGCTGTTAGTTTTGGTAAGGGATTGAATATATTTCGATCATGGACGATTTTATATAAGACATTCTTTTCATTTTACAGTCATAACAAGCTTGCCGG